CCCTTGTAAATTGTTATGGCATTTACTGTGCACTGGCTCTAATGGGCTCACAGGAGCAGATTATTGGGTCAAAATGATCTACGCATTTTAAAATATTTGTGTTGGCCTTGACAAATTGTAATACAACCATATAATCCATATTTTTAAAACTTTTAATAATGTATCTAGCTACTCCAGCCAACATTATGACTAGCACGCTTCCTAGCTATCTATTTACTCACTAATCCAGAATAACTCCACAGGAAACTCAATCACAGACATATATACTTAAATCATGGTCAAAGACCTTACCCAACCTCTCAAAAGCAATAATTCAGCCACAGCTCACACTGCTCTGCCTGCCTGCCTGCCCTTCTCTTCTATGAGCAAAAAAGGGGATGAGTAAAGGTTGAGTTGTTACCAGGATTTTCAGCCTTTACTGCATATTCTTGTTTTTGAGAATTAAAGTCAGATTGTTAACATTATATGCTTGGTACTTGCACAAAGTAATCTTTCAACTTGAAACATATGTGATGTAGTAGAAGCTTTGCTCTCTCCCTCCTCCCTCCAGCTTTTGTCGGGGAACTGGTATGGTTAAGTCTTTTAAATGAACAGGTGTACTTTCTCCCTTCTGATGTGAAAGAAGCATAAAACTGGATTATAGCAATTTATGATCTCCTAACTTGCATGGACTTATATCCATGACACAAGAAGCTTTATGTTTAAATTCAAGACCTGGTAAAATAGGAAGTTAAAATTAACCTCAAGCCCTTTATAGATGAAAACCTCAACAAATAAGCCGTGGTTTAGTGGTATGGCAACCTGCTCCTTTAAATCTATGAACTAGCCCAAGATGTCTATTTTGAGTTAGATTTTTTAAATCAAATTCTGATGATTGAAGAGTAGCCTGTGATTCATACTGGGGTGGTGAATTAAAGCAAAGTTTAATACCACAAACTAAAAGCTGCACAGTACATTTTTCTGGCCTCTATCTATAAAAAGCCTAATGCTCTCTTCATTCAGGAGGCAGTTACATAACATATCTGAAGCTGCAAATATTTACAAATCAGCAGAGTAATAATATGAACATTGTCAGGGGTATTTCATTTCTGTTGGGCTATATTCTGCAATTTAATGATGTTACTACCCTCCCCCTGCGCCCCAAGCCCTGGCTCCTTAAAGGTAACATAGGAGCTCAACTTGAAAACCAGTCATTCTTCAGATCTTGAGAAATATATCAAAGCTCTGATTCTCATTTACATTACAGCCTCTGTACACTGTGGTTTAGCATTATTTTAGTTTGCCGGATGTCCACTTGGTGTAGCCAAGTTTTCCGCAGTCCCATAAAGTTTGTTTACAGGCACTGGTCCTGGCTCTCAGTGTTTTGTGCTGTTATTTAGTTCTAATTTACCCCAAATGTCTTCTAAGAGCCCAGTAAGCCGTGAAAGTGTTGGTTATGCTGCTAGACAATGTTGGCCTCCCATAGTCCGGCAAATTCTCTGATTTGGCACCAGTCAGGTCCTGAGGGTGCCAGACTAGAGAGGTTCAACCTGTTTCATTTTCTGAGCTACTCCTATAAATTCACAGGCTAAATGTATCAAAACTGTATTTTAAGAAACAAAGCAAAGCAAGACATTAAATACATTTCTGGGGGTAGCAAATGAGTCCCTAGAGAAGTATGAAAGACTTCTGTTGCTCTGAAGTTGTACTACTGAAGAGTTTTAGAACAAGAAAAAAGGGATATTTTATGTTAAACCTGATACTCTGCTACGCATATAGTGTTCCAAAGCAGTTGAAGAATGCAAGTCTGCTAGTAATACCTCCACCCAAGTAGTCATAATAATACATTCATTTTCTTTTATAGGAGTATATCTGAAGGCAGAAGAAATTAAACTTACTTTGTTCTTTAAATTAGACTCTAAATAAGATGCTGCCAAAAGCTGTTAAGAGTTGTAAGAGCAGATCTCTTTCTAGCGTAAATTGGAGCAACTCCAGGAAGGATTTATGTGGTCCTTGAACTTTTCTGCATACTTAAAAAACAACGAATGTCTTGCAGCATCTTAGAGACTGACAGAACATGTAGATGGTATCATGAACTTTTGTGGGTTGGGCCCACAAAAGCCCATGATACCATCTATGTGTTTTGTTAATCTCTAAGGGAATGTCTACACTAGCCCCCTAGATCGATCTAGGGAGGCTAATGAGAGCGACCGGAATTGCAAATCAAGCCCAGGATTTAAATATCCCACGCTTGGTTTGCATGTTCCCAGCTGGTCGCCATTTTAGAAATTGACTAGCCCGAAGTAACTGCCCGTGTCTACACGTGGCAGTGAAACGGGATTTCGGAATAAAGCCCTAAATCGAATTAGGTGGCAAACCTCATTCCACAAGGAATACCACCTAATTCAATTTAGGGCTTTATTCCGGAATCCCATTTCACTGCTGTGTGTAGACGCAGGCAGTTACTTCGGGCTAGTCAATTTCTAAAATGGCGACCAGCCGGGAACATGCAAATCAAGTGCAGGATATTTAATCCTGGGCTTGATTTGCAATACTGGTCGCCCTCATTAGCCTACCTAGATCGATCTAGGGGGCTAGTGCAGACGTACCCTAAGATGCTGCAAGACTATTTGTTGTTTTTTAAGTTTTTCCAGTTACAGACTAACATGGCTACCCCTCTGAAACTTTTCTGCTTACTTTTTTTTTTGCAGTGCAATACACAATACTGTAGCATGCTGATCTAATTCAATGACTCACTTCTCAGCAGTGACCAGACCCCTTAGACACTGAAGTCAATGGGAGGTTTGCAAATGACTACAATGGGTCCACGATCAGGCCTAAGAATATAATGACAAATAACTAACACTCTTCTACAAGCTGTGCAAAGAGAGCTGCACACACACCCTGATTTTTAAAAATAAAGCACGAAAGAAAAACTACTGATTTAAAACCACTATTACTAACTATCTAGAACACCAGGGGAGGAGCTTAATTAAATCTATTTCATTCGGATTGGAAGTACTAAGTTCAATTCCATCAAGCAACAGCACTTGCTAAGATAAGAAAGATCAGGTAATTTATCTTAATTTTAGATGTGTTTAATCATGCATCTACATTTTGGACAATGCACAGTAGTTATTGTCCGAGTCAGAACTACAACAATGGCTGCCCGTCGCAGGGAGCCATAGCCTGTAATACCTCTAAGGCTGGTATAGGGGGTTCTGTCTGTGAGGTGGAGTGTTTTCCATATAAGGGCATGTAAATTAATAATCTTCCCCTGCTCGCTCCACCCATTGCAGTGAAAGATCAGCCAATGGGCTGACTTGTGCTCAGGCCTGCTACTCCACCCACTGCAGCAAAAACCAACCTATGGGGTGATAAGTTCACAGGCAATAAAACAGGCAGGCAGCCCCTCTCTCACTGGGGATTCGCATTGAGTGAACGCCTGGCCTGATCACCCAGACGCCTTGCACCCCCCGCTCTTGAGTCTTACTGAGCGTACTCCGAGTTGGTCGACCCGAGTGGAGACAGTTTATGAGCGTGTGACCGGTACTTGTGTTCCTGCTGTCTCCAGAACTGGTATAACACCCCCCCCTCACCATCATCCCTATCCTAATTGATTTTTTTAGTTGTCCTTGTTGCTTGCCAGGTGACAGTGGCTAGAAAGTTACTAAGTTAGTTTATAAATAGTTGTGGTTTAGGTTTTTTACTGTTTCCTTGTATAAAGTTGTGTAAATAATCAGCACTATGAACAATACCAGTGTTAATTCAACTGTTCCTAACCCCTGGGCAGTTATTGGGAATTATTGTGATTTAGAAAAGCCTCAGGGAATTGTTTTGTGTTGTCTGGCAATCTGTTTAATTTTTGTTCTGATGATTGTCGGGCGTCATCAAAATAAAATCAGTTTGTGCTTTTTGAAACCCCCAGTTGTGGTCTCATCCTTTCCGGCATCCCTTCGAACCGCGTGTATTACGGGGACTGACAGTTATCAAGATAGTGCATTTGTAAAATGCACAGTAGTTATCAGGATAGTTATCTGATTCAATGCCCACTGACTCTCCCTTGATTTAATAGAGGGAAAGTAAGATTTCAGAAAATTATCCAAGACTGGATTGCTTGATTTCATTCACATTATCTGGACTTGAATCCCAGATGATGTCAACATTTTGAGTCACGCCCTAAGAGATTTTAATTAAATATCACCACTGTCTGTTCTTATGAGCCCTGCAAGTATTTAGTTTATATTGGTCTTCTCCACTGAGTAATGCACTATGATAGCATTTGTTTGTGAATGGTTTCTTAGAAAAACTTCTGCAAACTGTTAAGAGTCTGTCTTCTTCACACAAGCATATACAGTAATTAAGTTACATATTCACCAGGAAATACATTATATACAAAAAGATCCAAGAGTATAGCATCTTTTCTTTAAAAAAAAGACCTGCAAAATTACAGTCCCAAGATATCTGAGGATAACACAATGAACTCTACTGTCAACGTGAATATTGCTACAGTCCAGGCATGTTAAAAAGGTGCTAGACCTTATAAAAATATATGATCACTTGTTAGAAAAAAGCCCATAGCTGAATGTGGTAAGTAAATGAAGAAAATCTGCTTTATGTGACTTTCTCCCCTCCCTCCCCCCGCTGCCCCTTCCTACTGTGTTTTATCAAAATTTCAAAAGTGACCTTTGGCAATGGCTTTGCCAAAGCTGTTAGAGAGATGAGGTGGGGAAGTAGTATCTTTCATGGACCAACTTCCTTTGGTGAGAGGGATAAACTTTTAAGCAACACAGTACTCTTCTTCAGGTCCTGGAGAACTGCTATGTAAGCCTCTCTACCATCAGAGCTGCTGTGCAATCTTCCATGCATCACCTGGTTGCCAAAACAACCTGGAAGTTGTTTGTGGCGGGTGGGGGTGGGAAAGCATCTGGAAGGCCATCTCAAACTGCAAACTATGTTAAGACTCTGACAACCCACAGCAAGAGGTTCCTTTACTGTAAGGGAGAGTTTCAGGTACTTACCCTGAATCTGACTCTGAGGCTGAGGGTTAAAAGCAGTGGTGTGGCTCAAAGAAGCTCGTGGGTTAGGTGTGGGGGCTGGGTGATGTGGGCTGACCCTCATGGCTGTGCGACGCAACTGCTCCAGTTCACTCAGACGCTCTGAAAAGGACAAGCTCCCAGGCTTTGTCTGCTCATCTAGTTTCTGACGATGTCCTATTGTGGGAGGGGGGGGAAAAAGATCAGAAAAATCTCACTGACATTTTTCATGCCTTTTTTTTTGTGATCCATTGGCAATGTACCTAACTAGCTGGTGGCCCTCTGAAAGTCAGCAAAGGCTCTGGATTAAGAGGAGATACACAATCAATTCATGCACAGTAACATCTCAAGCAGCATAACTCCTATGAGATATGGACTATTAAGAACAATCAGCTACAAGTCACAGTGCTCTATTATCCCTATTATTGTGTATAAAAAAGGAGTATTTAGTATGGCAAGGGCCTCTAAAAAATATATTTCAGCTTCTGTTACCTAAACTTGTGCTGCCCTAGATCCTTAAGTCTTGAAACTCAAATTCTCATAATTCACTGCAATTAGACTAGTGTGTGATATGACAAAAAATACAACTCCAACCCCAAACAAATATTGCTTAGGATGCTTTAGGAACTGCTCTTTACAATAAACCAGAAAGGAATACAAGGAACAGTGTTTAATGAATGGAAGTTATGAGGAAACAAAAAAGCTTTTTTACTAATATTGGGAGTTTCCAAAACATTAAGGGTTAGACTGTCCCCTCCCCTGCTGTGCCCTGAAGAACATCCTCTTGCTTGATAATGCTGATATACTAATTGCTATTGTAAGTAGTATAAACCAGTGCACAATGAACTCAGCCACCATTACATACGAGTTTCAGGGCCAGTATCCGGGGTGGGTGGGGAGAAGCCCCTGTGAGCTTGCTCCAACCTCCTGCTAAAACTTTGTTGCTTTGGTGATGGTGGGAGGGTGGGGTTTGGAGTATGCACGCTTGGGGGAACAGCATCTGGAGAAACCACAAGGCAGTGGAATGGCACAGACACAGCACAGAACTTCCAAAATCTCTTGGTTCAGGTGATGAAAGTTCTGAACAGATCCACAAGGGCAGCATGAAAGGACAACTCTGAGTCATCTCTTTTCAGCCTCCAGGGGGAAGAGAGGAGGACTAATTGTCTAAGAATTTATATATTGTTACCACTTGCCATTGGCTTCCTGTTCCGTAGGACTAAATTCACTATCAAAGTATCTCAACATTAGTGTTAACGCCATGTTGTTGAATGGAAATTAAAGATTCTAGGTCATTGGTTTGAATGTGGCCCAGCTTCATAGTGACCAACCCTCTTTACCAGACAGTTTTTATAATATAACTGTCAATTTTGCACCTGAGACATATCACCAAATGAACAGAAACTGCTTTCTTTAAACTCTCGGTCCCTCACTGTACAAAGCACTCTTTTATGCAGATCTAGCAACACTTTAATCAAGATATAGGGTTTTTTTTTTCCATTCTAGAGAAAAAAGTACATTTAAATGCAGTTCCCAGTAGTTGAAATTCTAAAATTAAATTCTGTAGCTCGCATTATGGCTTCAAATCTCAGTGGCTCAGTTTTCTTCATCCTGCCAGGCCCTTTGGCACAGTTTGCACTTTCTCAGATTCCACACTGCACTATAAATTATCCCAGGGGGAAAAAATTAAAAAGACACAGTATATATCTGTGATTTTATCATTAAGGAGGCTTCAAGGGGGAAAAAATGAAAGACTTTCATCCAACACTTTAGAAGTTCAAACACAACTTTCTTTCGTTTGTCAGTCATGCAAATCTGGATTCTGATTCAAGTCCTTAGCTCATAACACTTGACTTGAATGCAAACACACTGAGTCACGCAAGCTGTGTACATATGTAAAATGTCTCATACAGTCTGATTATACTAAACATCAGCCTGCTGAATTGAAGGCCCTAGAGCCAGGATTCTGAGAAACCCCTACCAAAGCTATTGCCATAATATAAATTATTCTCAATCTGAAGTTCAACTTCAAATTAATCAATTTATGCTTCTAATTTAGTGCTTCGTGTAATGTTTTACCCGCTTACTCTCCCACCTTCTTTTCTGTTAGGTGCCGCTCTCATAATGGTATCACATATTAGTCCTGTGGCCTGGAAATTAAAGGCTTGTCTGTACAGCCCCTAGAAATACTGGTGATCAGTATTTCTGATCCCACTCTGAAGTCAGCAGGATGAAGGCTGGATAAAAGCTGGTGAGATGAGAGCACCTCTTCTTGTTTCAATGTACTTTAAGTACACAGAATGCCAGTAGCTCCAGTACATAGGGTTCTTTAAATTCCAAATCCTCTTCTTCAGGCCAGGGCTACCCTTAAAAATTAGATTGAGTGATATCTCACTCAAGGCTAGCTATGAAAAAATGTGCACCTTGAGCAATGGAATTCCATCAACCTAACCACCTGTGGAGATGTGGCTAGGTCAACAGAAGAATTCTTCCCTGGCCTAGTACCTCTCTGGGAAGGGGATTAATGACACAGACAGAAACCCCATTTCAGTCAATGTAGGAAGCAATGTGTCCATGTGCAACAATGGCACAGCTGTTGCCACTTTTGTGCAAACGTGTCCTGTGTTAGCAGCACAGTTCAGTGCAAATCCTGCCAGTAGGAGGCACCGTGGCTAGGACAAGGGATTAGAGGGGAATGATTTGAACTTGGAAAATTCTATTGATGTAAATGTTATTTACAAGAATTATGGTATCCCACTGCGTCAGTCTTGAGGAAATGGTCATTTGTTTTGTGTGGAAGCTTTGTAATGGGAGCTACTGAGGTATCACTGGAAACATCATTTCAGGTAAGTGCCACTAACTGCAGAAGTGGGTTTTGGCTTTCCTTTAATCAGCTGCACTACCCAGCATTTTCTACTAGATGACCCCTCCAGGCAGCAATATAAGAACTTAACTTCACAAAGTCTATAGTATGACCATGCAGTATCAGAAAAATATAACTAGTATTTGTTTTCCTAAGCCATACAGATGAATGGGCTAAGCGTTGCTAGAATGGTTTATTTATTTACTAGCTCTACTCTGAGAGGTTTGCATTGGTAAATGTGTCCTCACATTAACCCTTTGAAAGAGGGATTTATTATTATTCCCATTTTATAAATGGGGGAACTGATTCACAGAAAGAAGAAATAACTTGCATAGGATCTTACTGAGTGGAAGACTCCTGACTCCTGATGTAGTGCTTAACAACAAAACCATCCTTCTTCTTTATGCCAGAGTGGAGAATGATGGAACAGGAAACCATTAACAAAGCAGTCCTCTTATACTTTTACAGACCATGAAAATAGTGGTAGTATTGAGTTTAAAGGGAATCCAGTCACAGCACAGAGGCAGAGATAAAATAACAGAGAGGCAATAATAATAAGTGTACATAAAAATGTTGAAGTGATCTGTATTTATAGAACAGAATAATCTGTGGCAGGTCATTTGGCAAAAAGTGATTTGTTTCCTCCCTCACATTGGTTAGTCAGTTTAATTGTCTTCTTGGTACCTTGTGGGCCAGATGCTCAGTCAGTGTCAACTGGTGCAGCTCCATTGATTTTCATGGAGCTACACTGCTTTACAGCAGCTTAGGATTTCACCCTGAGGATCTGATTGTCTTCTCACTCCAGTGGGTATAAATCAGAAGTAACTCCAATGAAATCAGTGAAGTGTCAAACTGAGATAGGTAAGAGGACAACTGGTTCTTGCAGTGCCAAATGACAGATTATATTTGACACTGGGGCCCAATCCTCCATTCCTTGTCTTCTCACAACTCCCATTAATTCTGTTGTGTTACGTGTCCTCTGAACACAAAGCAGAAAGAAGAGGATGGCAGGTTTATGCTATTAATACAATATTTAGGACTTTGATTAGAATAAGAAGGGCATCCAGTCTGCTTGGCTGAATCACTTTTTAAACGTTATCTTCTTTGCACAGAATTTGAAATGAGGTGCACAGCAAAAACACAAACATTGATGAGATTTCTACTGAAACACAACATGAAAGTATTTTTCCTCTTTATGGGGGAAAATGCAGTTCCATAAACTTTAAGAGACTGTAGAGCATTCCGTTTGGACTAGGTCCATCTGGCTGGAACACCATTTTTTGAAAATGACAAAACCAAAATATCTTGTTAGCTCCCATATTTTTGCACGTTGAATGTTTACTGTAAATGTTTACTCATTTATGTTTAATGTTGTGGATGGCCACAGGGATACAATGTCAGCATTTCTAGGTGGCTCTTGAGAAGTACAAAAATATAAACTCCAGAGTAATCTTTCTCTAAACCTATTTTATTGTAATAATCATAAATCTTTAAATTTTGAATTTCAGTGTCTAGTGTCACTAAATAATTCTTGCCTGCCTGCACCCCTTTAATGTACTAGAGTGGTGAAAATTCAAACTGATAAAACCAGAAAAAATATGCTTAAATATAAACATTCTTATCCTTCAAAAGTATTTAAAAATAAAAATTGAGTTCTGCCAAGGCTACTCTTAAAATAATATGCAGTCTCAAAGAGAATTTTCAGTGGCTTGAGGTTTTTGACTGGAAAACTTCACATATGATTTATATTTTTTCTTGTTCCCTTTTTTCCATCTGATTCTATAAATGTAAATATTAAATAAGTTTAAAGAACTAAATTATGAATATCACATGTCAAAATACACAAAAGTAAATATCCTCAATCAAACTTCGCAAGCAGCATTTTCCTTACTTTTCTCATATGTACATTTCAGTGATCATCAGTAGAATTTCTTCCCCCTCAATCCGTTTGTGTGCATACTGTGAAATTGACATTTACTGATATTAACCATTAAAAGACTAACCCTTCTTAGCCTGTTTATGAGTAAACAACATGACAATGGTTTAAAGACTTACAACAGGAATATCCTTTAGTTTTATATCAAGAGGACAAGATGATTTTTCATAGTTTTAATTATTGTTCCAAGGAGAAAAAGGTGGGTGGAGGCCTGAATCGTGCATTCAATTTAGCACATGGAAGCAGCAATGTTTTTTTTTAAAATAAGTACTGTATATTCACGCCCACCCTCTAGATGGTAGTAATATCAAGGTAGATACAATGTTATGCCAAATAGCTTTGCATTACCTATAATTCTGAATAGATTCAGTTATGTCA